TCGGTGGCTGTTCTTGCAGTGTCTCCTGTTGTTGCGGCTACTCTTCCTGCAGCGACTATTCTTCGTCCGGTACATCCGCTCCCCTCTTAAGACAAAGCTCGTCTCGAGCGGTTTCCTTTCAGCTCGCCAGAAGATCACATTCATCCATCACTTTCATTCTATGGCACATTCACTCTCTCTGGGGAGGCCGGTTCTTCTATTTTACCGGCTTCTCTTCTGTGCCCTGCGTCTTTTTCGTTTTGGAGGGGGTCACCTCCACAGTGTCCAGTCCTTGACGTGTCGTAGGCCGACAGAAGATCCAACCATTCCCTTCACAATCTTCACGCTGACAGTCTCGTAGATGGTCTTCTTACAAATTCTCCCTTCGTGGTGCGATCGCTGTCCTGATCTACACCCTCCGATGACACCCTTGGTTGTCACCTTTTCCGTCTGACATCCGAAGGTTCCCTGGGGAGTTTCCTTCTTGGAGGCATTTCTCCAACCTCGTGCCACTGTCGCGCGACGGGATGTCTTCCTGCAGTTAGCAGCCAGATTCATCCGGGATTCATGATCTCCTCGGGTCCAAGACTTCCTGACGATGTTTCTCCAGCGCCATGCCACTGTTGCACAGCGGGACACCTTCCTACAGGCGGCGGCCAACTTATTCTGGGGTCCGCAATTTTCCCGCGTCGGGTTCCTCATAATTCGTCGATGTCGGTCCCAACGCCTTTTCTTCTTCGGTTCTCCGACCGGCATTACTTCGGCGTCTTGTACGGGTACCTCTAATAGTTCTGCCGCCTCAGGTTTCTTGTTCGCTGAAGTCGGCTCTTCTTCTTCTGGACGTGCCTCCCTTTCTTGGCAGGCCATCGTCACTCCGACCGGTATCACTATGGGAACCTCTTCTTGTTGTGCCGTCGCAGGTATCGTGTCCACTGTGGCCGGCTTTTCTTGGATGGCTCTTGTCTCTGCATCCCACTTTTCTCGCCAGGCTTTCAAGTCGGCGTCTATTCTGTTTTCCATCCGCACTCGGAAGGCATCTGCTTTTACTTGGTCCGATTTCACGTTGGCATCAATTCTTGCCAGCATTTCCATTATTCATTGCATATCCTGTTTCTCCATTTTGAAGCAATAAAATACTCGATGCACAATAATCCAATTATTTGTCAGGCATGTTTAAGTTCGTAAAAATTCTGACACCAAATTGTCACGTGTCTTGAGTTCGAAGCTCGTTGGTCACGTGTATAAGTCCAAATCCCGAACGTCACGTGTGTAAGTTCTAATCCCACTTCTGACACCAATTGTCGCGTATCGGGCGTATATCGCGACAAATAAATTCACGCCATATTTTATATAGCGAATTTTATTTCACATTCGCACTTACAATCACCCAAATTACAGATTTCCGATTACTGCTATCTGCAGTATCACAATTAGTACACTCCAAATGCCACAATACAACTGACAGGTTGCTGGCTAACTCGGCACTAACTCGGAGGTAGCTCGAGGACTCACTGACTGACTCAGTACAACTGACTGTGAATAGCCTTCGCTGCTCCTTATGTAGCCTTGATCGGACAATTGTCGTCTGGTGCCTTGTTGCTAGCCACGCTGTCCGGAAGTAACCGCTGTTACTACTTGGTGACGTCACTGCTGTTGACTCGTGTTGCCTAGCGACCAGGATGCTAGGACTCGGCTAACATCGGCTCGCTTCGGCTTCGCTCAGCGCATCACGGCTGGTGGCGGAGGGGCGTCATCCATAGCTCAGCATGTCACAATATATATAAAATGGGATATAAATACATTATTCTTATGGTTGGAAACCATTTCAAATATAATCTTCTAAAGCATGTAAACTGTATTAATAAATAAAATGATGGTAAAGAAAACCGTCTGACAAGCTGAAACATTAAACTGCTTCTTAGGAAAACAAGGTTAGAAATGAGTTGAATTCAAACTGTCTCATCACCAGGCCATTAACATTTTCTGTGTTCTGTGCTCAGCCCTTTGAATTTTAAAACCATCACTGAGTCATAGGAGTAAGGAACATATTAGATTTATACAAATGTATCTGTATGCAACAGCAAAATATGTGAGATCAGTAAGTTTCACTCTTATCACAATTTCTCCAAACCACTCATCTGTTTTAACTAAACATCACCAAACCCATTCTCTTTACCATGTGAGACTCATACCTGCATGACTACGTTGACTTAATTACACTCAGACTAAGGGATCTGATATCATAAAGAACAACATATTTTTGAAATGTATATTTTACTTATTATACAGAAAATTAACAGTCATTTCAAGCCTTAACAGCAAACTTTCTTGGTGGATTTATTCTTTGTTTTCTTATTTCCTTCAGGGTCTTGATGCGACTTTCATGCTTGGAGAGCGCACGGCGAATTGCCCGAGTTTTTTTGGGTCTCAGATCCAGAGGTTTATACTTCTTGTTCTAAAACAAAATAATTGAGTGTTACACCTCGGTACAATCATGGCACTATCAAGTTCAGATTTCTACCTGAACCAAGTCTCATATTAGCATTCACATGATGGTTCAAGCCACTGCTCTCTCCATCTTTAATTCTGGAGTCTTCTTTACCTCCAAAAGAGCAATTCTTAAAATGCTGCTATAAAAATTCCCAAGTGTGTTTACAAATTAATTTGATGAACAATATAAAACAGAAATAACCAGTTTAAGGTGTCAAGTTTCATTCCAGTCTTGTGACTTCTTACTTTCACCTTCGTATCCTGTAAAACTAGTTCTTTTTACATGCAATGATTAGATGGTCTTTATGTTTTTTGAACAATTACATCATAGCACGACCATAAACTGCTACTGTTAATACAAATGTTTTAAAATTTACTAATTTCTTAGACTACATTATGCAGTGAGTAAAAATATCAAATCACATATTGTAAATTAACATCCCTGTGTTAGTAACACACACAGGAAAGTGAAATAAGGCAAAAGCATGTAACTACAGAGTACAAAAATAGATGGATAATGACAAATCATGACCTTAAACATACCATTATGCTCTTGGTTTCAAAGTTCAACTGGAAAAGAATTCTGTTAACACATTACTTATGGGCAGGTTGCATTCTTATGAACATTGCAATAAAACTTTCAAATCCATAAAAGGGAATTTCTTGACAAACTGAGTGATCATTAGCTTCACAAGGCATTTGCTCCATTGAATTGGTTTAGACACTTGATGTTCTATGAAGATTTCCAAGGCAAATAAGATGAAAAATACTGCAGAACACTGACCTTAAAAAGTTTTCTTAAGTTCTCCTTCTGCTTTTGATGCATCACAATGTAAACTCTAGCAATAGCTTTTCGCACAACTCGTCTAGGGAAAGAGAATGAAATATTTAGCATTTCAGTCATCAATATATTGTACTAAAAGAAATCTGACATCTGTAATCAAATTCAGATTTGTTAATGAAAGAAAAAAATGATTATATAACTAAATATGTTTTATCAGTAAACAGTAAAATTATGTTAAAACACTGTAAGTGGATAATGAAGTATTAATCATCTGAAAAATGCCTGCAGCAGACTTTGTACACGAAGAGGACCAAATCCATTTCTAGAGACAGGATGTTCATATTCAAGTTTCTTGAAATTTGAGAAAATTGTCTTTGAATACAAATGACACCCAAACATACTCCTTCACAATAACATTATTTTACTGGGACCATTTCTTTTAGTTCAATGTACTATGAAAACATAGATATGCATTTCTAAATAATTAATTAACATTTGTTCATCCTTGTTTTATTTTACAGGCATTTCCTTGCTGCTTATTGTTACATCTTGCATTATAATATGAAACAAAGCAGATATAGCTGATAAAATAACATTGATACTGAGCCTCACAAATTTTGAAAAGTACCTGCTTGAACTGAAATGAATTAAGCCTTAGATGTTATAAATGGATGATAAATATTTTTCTTATCAGAACAACAAAGATTTAAAACAGCCATATGTGTACAATATGGACCTCCTCTGTGGTCTAGTGGTCAGAGTTCCTGGCTGCAGATCCAGAGGCCATGGGGTCGATTCCTGGCGCTACCAGATTTTCTGACTAGTGGGTCTTAAAACAGGTCCACTCAACCTCGTGAACATAACTGTGGAGTTACTTCAAATGGAAAAGTAGTGGATCCAGTAGAGAAAACCGAGATTAACGGCCATGGGAATCCGTTGCACTGACGACGCGACACCCTATATCCACAAAAGTTGCCACTAACTTCGCTGACAAGCTGCAGTTGCTCGGTCAGTATAGTTCGCTTGCAGACAAAAATGCCATGGAGAATGTGTGCAATACAGTCACCACCTGCATTGCTAAAATGCACCCGCAAAAATGGTTCCAGTTAAGACTAGTATCCTTGAAGAAAAACATAATTCCATTGATGAATTATGAATATAAAATAGATTTTTTACATCCGTTAAGTACAAGCTCAACATGAAAGAAACGTACACATGACACTTCTGCTGTATGAAGTCTAGTGAATGACTAAACCACAAATCCATAACGAGTTAAAAATAAAAGTTCAATAAAGTTTGAACATTAAATTTATGTATTTTATTCTTCACATTCTTAACACTATATTAAACTACAGTACTGCTGTTCTTTCCAAGTGAAAAATGAGTTTTGCAACAAACCTCACTTTTTAAAATTTTTATCAATATCCGATCTAGAAAACCGAAATTAACGGCCGTGGGGATTCGTTGTGCTAAACCACGCGACACCCTCTATCCACAAAAGTTGGCACTAACTTCGCACCCTCTATCCACAAAAGTTGGCACTAACTTCGCCGACAAACGGCTCTCGCTTGGTCGGTATAGTTCGCTTACGGACTAAAGCCACGGAGTTGGATTTTTCCATAAACAATATTTTTAACCCCACGTTACGGAACCTGGCCATTAACAAATGCATCCATAATATTGCCTCATGAGTTTCGCAGGGTAGCAATGTAAATTTACTGCTTTTACAGTAATTCGCATGATAGTTCCGATTCTCAAAACTATTATAAATACAAATACTCTCCCAGGTGTCAACTGAGTAAAGGAATATTTGAAATAATCAAATAGCATATAAAATCGTTTAACTGCCGCTGGAAGATTGAAAGCATGATTTCACTTCCACCCAGAAGCTTACATTTTGGAAAGCTTGGAGGCTGCTCCGCCCGTCACCTTCGCAACCCGAAGGCTGGTAAGTTCAGTTTTGAGTTCATCCAGCTGCTTCAGCAGCTCTTTCTTATCTTTCGTCCGAAGCTCGGAACACTTAACTTTACCCTACATACAAACAAAATCAATTTTAAAACAAGCAAAATTCAACTTCAATCATAACCACAATTAAAACATACAAGACAACACAGCCACTCTTTCAAAGAGTCTTGGATTTATGACATACTAGTTTACTTTCTCTATTATGAAAACTACACAAAATGGGTCACGATTACACATATAGAAAGGATTCCGTCGATTATTTAGAGATTGCTAACATTATTCACACACTCACCATTTTCGTAGATCAGGACCGGAACCTGTGTTCAATCAAAGATCGTCGTCCAACTGTACGCCATGTCAACAACGTCAGAGATATGTCTATGACATAGCACGGAATAATATGGACGTCGGTTCATCTGTGTCTGATGATCCGGGCGCCCGGCAAGTGATTCAATTGGTTTCTCAAGATTTTGTCAGCTGAAACAGTAGAATTAATTGGGGTTGAGGTTCTCGCAGCAGTGACTATGAACTTCTGAGACATATATCCATGTAGTCCCGTGAAAGTCAAGATGAACATATCGCCTCAGTCTTCAGGGTCGAAGAGAAATTAAGCCAAACGAGAAACCATTATGAAGAAGGGGCAAGCTCTGCGTAGTGGCGTGAGTGAATGTTATTATGTAGTATATATGCACGCTGGAAAAGACTGAATAACGAGAAGCTTCATAACTTGTACTCTTCGCCAATTATAAGTACAATGATCAAGTCAATTAGGGTGGGATAGGAAGGGCATGTAGCACGCAGGGGAAATGAGGAATGCATATAAGATTTTGATGGGAAAGCCAGAAGGAAAGAAACCACTAGGAAGACCAAGATGTATATGGGAGGATAATAATAAAAGGGATCTGAGAGAAGTAGGATGGGGTGATATGGGCTGAACTGATCTGGCTTAGGATAAGGACCAATGGAGGATTCTTGTGAACACGATTATGAACATTTGGGTTCCGCAAAATGTTGGGAAATTCCTGGGTAGCCGAACGACTGTCGGCTTCTCAAGGAGGGCTCAGCTCCATTGAGCTAGTTAGTTAATTAGTATATACGTACAGTCACTGCCGGGGGTGAGAGAAAACTTCGTTCTGAATATTCTATAGAGGAAAGCTATGCACCACAAATTGACTGGTGACGTGTAGCACTTCGTAGATGACTTCTGTCCAAATCCGGTGGATCATTGCATCGGAAACGTAGGACTCCAACCTGACATAAGTCTGTTTATTTCACAATTTATGCTTCACTTTTCCAAGGCTCTAGTAGATGACAGTAGGACCTCGTTTCTCAAGTCGCCGATTAGAAGTATTTCGAGAATGTGTACAATACACGATGCTGTATATTTTGATACATCATCACCCTTTCTCAAAAAAGAAGCTTCTACATCCTTCAGAATTCTTAAGCCATTTTCGTTTGATGGCTCCAGAGAAGTGGTATCCTCATTACCCCATCGGGACTACCTACATGTATCAAACTTATCATACCACATGGCCGTAGGAGTGAAATGTTGTGATTGTGTTCTGCAAATTATTGCAAGTTTGGGATGTACGGGTGGACAGTAATTTTTCATCGGCTGGTGAAAATCTGGTTCGCACACTTCTCCGTATGGAATTCCCTTCTCGTTTGACCGCGATATCGTTACTCTCTTCTTGGAATTTCATGTCGGGGCTAGATTCACTCGGACATTATAGTAGTCTATGACTACAATACTATGTGGAAGTAGTGTAAAAATTGATTTTTCTTTCAACCGCTACACGTAATTTGTTATACCATGTCCTCTGGTTCGACTTGACGTCGACATACTCATTTGGTAAGAAGTCTTCCTTACCACCAGCATTTATGAGAATTATTTTTACATCTCCAGATAGGAACGTGCAAATCATGAAGACTGTCACCACTGCAGCCAGTTCGTGTTGCGTGTTATTCATAAACGTGTGTCTTATCCGTGTACGTTATGCGACAACCTTCATTCTTATATTTACGAATATCTCGTAAGAGATTCTCTTTGCTCTTACGTTGTGAAACTCCGTTCAAATTCGTGGATGTGTCGGACCCTGTTCATGCTGACCTGCGGTCGGTTTCTGTTTTATATCTATTTTCGATAGTGACGGTCCTTGTCTCCGGTCTAGAAAACCGAAATTAAAGGTCATGGGGATTTTTTTATAGAAAAAACAACGTAAATACAAAAAAGGCCTAGGCAATACCCATCCGGCCTTCTGTAGCACATTCGTATAAATATCTTATTCTATAATAGCAGTAACCCCGCGATTCTTAATAAAGATCTTAACTTAGATCTGAGAGTATACTGTTAATAATCAGTACAATTACTATATTTTACTTTTCTTACATATCTCTTTAATATAAATATCGGAATGTTGTTTATGATGTAGCAGACGCCTTGGAGAAATCTTTTTTTTCTTCTAGCCGATAAGCGGCGGTCGCTCGGTCGGTATAGTTCGCATGCGGACTAAAACCACGGAGTTGGTTGTTGGATGGTCTTTGTTTGTGATGCAGAATACGTCACTGTACTCGAACTATATCTCGTGTAGCGAGAGATAGTAAATGTCTACTGAAAACAGAAGAACGCGAGGGAAAGCGGTCGCGTGGTGGAAGTACCTCTTAACGTGCAAGCAAGAGAAAAAGTATAAACTGTTCCATATCTGTGCGCATACTTCAGCTGTGTGGATTTGCTCACGTTCGCAACTCCGCCCAAAATAGAGCAATATTTCCACATATATGATACCCTGCTTGGTTGATACTCTCCAGTGTTGCCTTCGGAGATTTTCTAACCCATACTTCGTGATGGTTCTCAAACGACGTCGACACATCAAATTATCAAGATAATTTTTAGGTCGATTGACTGATTTCCCTGATACACATGTCGCCTCTGGTACGTTTATGTGAATCTACATGAAGTCTACTAAAGCTCATCTAACAACTCTTCATAAATTTACATACATTGCTTATCAACTTCGCAATTGGCTGCAAAGAACTTTTCCTACAACATGCAGGTAGCATTATGAAAGGAAGTAATATTGTATGAATGCTCATACACGATACACAATGGAAACGTCCTTCTCAGTGTAATAGCTTCCGTTTGACGACTAACCCAGACACACCTAAAATTCTTATCTCAGTTAGGGAGCTCTCAGATCCACAGATAATTCTGCTGAGAACGGCGAAGTCAGAAAACTAGTGCAGCAATATTGTTCGACCCAACCATTGACTGCATATGCGGAAGACGAGTAACCTTCACGCTGTGTGCAAATTCACTTACTAATCTGACTAGAAGCAGCCGGCAGCTCGTATACGGTATCTACTGTGACTTATACCAAGTCTGCGAATAGCAGTATAATAGCAAAGGGGAGGATCGGGGAGGATGAATGTGTGAGTGAAGTGTGTAGGAGGTACTGGGAAGAAAGGTTTTGTGGTATAAATTTTTGTGTTATTTGTGCAGGTTTTGTTTTTAACGATGGCCAAAAATACATCTAGTTCTGCATTCAGGAAAATTGATGTTGATCAGTATAATGAAGACAATTATAGAGAAGAGGAACAAGCAGAATTACTGTCAACGCCTGTTGGACCAGACGAAGCAGAAGTTACAGCCTTAATGAACCAGTATCCTTTTCATAATTATGAGATTAAACTTTCAAAATCGCAGATGTTTTAATTATACTGCCAATTATTGTTTTGACTGTTGGCATTTACTGGCATACACTGCATTATTCATTGTTGGGGAGGACGAGCCCGTTCTGAGCCGAAGGATCATGAATGTAATTTATTATTACTGAAATAAAAGAAGTGTTTGCGTTGATGTTACGTTTTTTTTTTCGTGCATGAAACCATTTTATTTTATCGCATATTCAAGGTGCCAACATTAGTTACTAGTTCAGTGTAATGAACAAAAGCATATAAAGGTTACCAAATAATAAGGAAGGTGTGCTGCCGAATTCTGCGGTATGGCCATTTCAGTTCAAGGAAGCACTTTCTGATATATAGCTTAAGCTGTATCGGTAGGAAATTTGTATTAGGTTAGCCGTACTAAAATGTCATTCCTCCAAGAGTAAATGAGTATAAGGAAATACATTCATCAGTATAGGCATACTGGTACACCACTAAACAGGCCTTGCCAAAAATTGAGGACCAGGTTATTGTGGCTGCATGGAAAATTTACTGCTGGTGAATGTGTAAATTATGTGAAATTCGTTTAAATTTGAATTAAACATTTACAGAAACATTTTGCCTTAATAGTTTCCAGGGGGCGACATATTGATGCTTTGAAGGCTGTGCTACGAAATGCTCCATTAGGATCAAAAAACCAGCAAATCAAGGTGTGTCAAATGCAAGCAGTTCAGTTCCCTCCTAGACCCTAAATGCTCAAGAGTGCTCTGTTGTCATTTCTAGTCTTGGTGCTCTAAAGGATTCATGTGATTTACCTCTCTGCCAGTTACATATATTAAAGACCTGACTTCTGATGCTTTTGATAGTTCATACTGTACATGGAATCAGTGTTTCTTTCATTCGTTGGTTCCATTCCCAAACACAAAATAATGTAAAATGCCTTTGCATATGTGTAAAATAATAGTATAAAATCTTGGACCACAGACTATTTGAATATGGTTAACATAATATTTATTATTAAATATATGAAGAAACATGAGAAAACACTTTTGTAACACACTGTGCAAATGGGTTTAGACTTCAGCACTGTTTTGTATGATAATTTTTGAGGATATTATCTGAAGTATGGTTCTGGGTGTGTATGTAGTGATTCTTTTCTACACTGTTTATAATACTTTCTTACGATTAAAGGAGTATGAAAATAAAATGTAGCTGTAAGTAACATAAGATATAATGTTTTGCAGGACAATGCTTTGAACCTAACATTGAGAGTGTTGCTGGCAATCAAAGCCTCCCAAATTGAACAAGCTGTAGGCTCACTGGACCGAGACCTAGTGGATGTGCTAATGAAGTATGTGTACCGAGGGTTTGAGTCACCATCAGAAGGGAGCAGTGGTCATCTTCTCTTGTGGCATGAAAAAGCATATGTTGTTGGTGGTGTGGGAAGTATCATGCGAGTTCTTTCAGACACTAAGCGAGCATGAATAACTTGAACAGTCATGGCACTTAAAATAGTTTCTAATAATTTGTCATTTATTTTTCATGTACATACCATTCCACAAGAATGTATGCATGACTCAGAGTGAAAGAAAAGACAGTGTTTATGTATGAGATGTTTATAAAATTTATTGTTATAAAATTCTAAAAGACATACAGTTTTTATGTCCATGAGTTATAGTCATTATATCAACAGTGTACAGTCTTTTACCAGTCAATGAAAATGGTTCTGATTTATATTTAACTGTGTAGATTGAAGTATTTGTACACAAGTACCTTATGAAAATGTGCTTTATATTAACCATGAGCAAGGTGAAGACAGTTCAACCACACACACATATGTATTATATTTTACAGTTCTATTTTATAGTTTATTTAAAATATAAATATTTAACTAACTCAGCAGTGCATGCGGTTTATCAGTGCATAAGATACAAAAATAGCCTTTGCTTGGAGTATAAGTTCTCTTTTATTCTTCTGCTTTCTCTTCCTACAAAGTATGCATATCTGTTGAATACCTGAAGAAAGGATAGTGGAATAATGCGTGACAAGTATACAGACTCAATTTGAATATTGTCAGGCTGAAACTGATATTACAGTCTGAGGCTGATGACCATCACACCTCTTCTATGGTGCAGATCCAAGGCACAAACCTCCATTGTTTGGTCTTTGTATCTGTAGCCAGAGATTCTAACAGAATAGCTGTAATTACATTTATAATATGTTACTGATGTGTTACAGCATCCATACATTTGTCATGTTCCTGAATGCTTTGTTCTTTGCTATATACTGTAAGTTAGCTGTTCTACTTGTTCTTTGTACAGTATGACCAAATATATAGGTGTATCCATCTGTGCCATTTATATACATTTCCTCTCTAAAACTGGTTTGCATTTGGACAAAAATTGTTATTGGGAGGAGATTTGCACTGGAATCTGTTGGGTGAATTTAGTTCTGGTTTGTATAAGTACAATATAACCCATCCATGAAGCTTAAACGAACTCCCGTTTTCACATTAATGGCTTTCACCTGAAACACCCGATGAGTCTGACCATTACTGAACATCCTTGCCTGCACAGTTGGCTTTTTGGACATTATCCATTATACTGTTTTTGTCTTAAATCCTGCTGTGGTTATATTCTGCCTTGTGTTATAGAAACTAGCTCTTTCGATTGGGTCCAACTGAGTAGGCTCTCTACCGGAGGACAGAGGCAGAGTCCAATCTCAGAAACATTGTTTTACGTAGATCAAAAAATTGAAGGCAGTTTGGTGGTAAAAAAGTAAATAAGATTAAAGAATTTTATTTTACATCATTACTGCAGACGTTAATTCATTTTTCTACATAATCCCCATCAAGATTTAGGCGCCTGTCATACCATGTGACAAGTTTATGCCTGCATTGTAGAAATCCACCAAAAGTCCATTGAACCAGTCTTTAACTGTCTTCTTCACAGCTTCATCATGCATGAACCACTCAGAAACTGCTTCAAATGTGTGTACAAGTGAAAATCACTAGGTGCCAGGTCTGGAACATAGGGAGGATGGAAAAGAAAATGTTCCAGGCAAAGTAACCAAATGGTGCATATACTCATATGATAGCAGTCTTTACTTTATGGACAACCCTTGTAATAAAAAACAGGATGATGGATAATGTCCAGAAAGATAGCAATTTTATTTGATATAACATTGATATAAACTTTAGCTCTTATCTTTGTCTGCATTCTAACTACTGCAACCTTGCAGCTAAATGCTTCAATGTGTGGAGTTGAAACAGTCTGAAAACAGCATTGCAATATTTTACTGTCATATGCAGGCAGAGCCAGAGATCTTTAAATCATGGCATATATTGCATGTTTCACGGAGATGAAATATGCATTCTGAGGTTATTAATGGAAGTTAGTGGCTTTCAGCTTCATGTTCCACATGACTGTCCATTTCATTTTTAAAGAACAGGTGAGCCCCAGACATGGCAGTGAAGAAGAAAATTTAAGACACCTTTTCATAAATTTAAACATGATTATACGTTTCACTGTGTGTGTTGGTCATTTCTGTGACAACTTTCACACACTGATTGCAGTAAATAGTACACTTCAGAATTTGAAAGAAAATACTGTGATAAGAAATTTGAGAGAGGTGAAGGGTAGGGAGAGAAAGAATGGGGAAAGGAAGAAAAAGAGAAGGAAGCAAGAACAAAATAAAAGAAGTAACAAGTTAGGATATGTACACATGCCAGGATAGTTCAGTTCTTATATGGCCTAGGCTATAGACTGGACAACCAGAGAACTGGTTTGATTTCCAGTGGAGGAAAGTGATTTTTCTCTCCACAGCATTTGGAGTGGCTCTAGGGCCCACTCAGTTTTCTGTCCAGTGGAAAGTGGGGGTTCTTTTGCTGGAGGAAAAACAGCCAGGGCGTGAAGCTCACCTCCATCTAGCACTGAGATTAAGAATGTGTGGAGCGCCGCTTCCACTTCATGGTGTTGTCCTTAATAGGCACAATGATTTTACCTTTACCTTCATGCATAGCATAACAGTTTTGGCATGTTAGCTCATTTTTGTCTTAAAAATGCAAGACTTGCAGAAAAAGTTCACTGGGCATAAAACATGTTTCATTTTTCTTCTACATGAAACACCTTTCCACCTGGTAAATATTCAGTAAGTTTCGCTAAAAGCATGCAGAAATTCGTTACTGTTGTCAGATTTAACCAAAATAGGATTGTGACAACAAATTTTATTTATATCACCCAGTGTTAAAAGTTCATAGAAATTCAGCAGTTCCCAAGTGTTGCCTGCAGATATATATGATGAACCTATTTGGCACATTTTTGCTACTTCTGATTTTGAATGTGCCAGAAAGAAAGTAAAACTGGGACAGATTTCACTTTTCTCTATGACTTCTGTTTGAAACAGTGTTTAGTGCAGTAAATGTTTAGCACAAAAATCCTGATCCTTATATACAGTGGAACCTCACTTAACAAGCAAAACAAATTGTAAAAAAAAATGACTCGCTTAACGAGCGACGAGAGGGGAAGTCCCGAATTGTGCGCTTGCTACATCAGTCTGTGTTTAGCACTCGTTCTGCTAGCATCTTAGTGTTGCTTGTGATCACACATTTTTCCAAACTTTTGTTCAGACATATTATCTGTGACAAAGACAGCAAAAAGACAGCCATAAGAGAATAAAAATAGCTGTAGAAATGAAATGTAAAATCATTGAAAAGCGAGAACGGGGTGTGAGCATGGCTGATCTAGCACGCACATACAATCTGTCTACATCAACGATTTGCACTGCTCTCAAGAACAAGGACAAGATTAAGGAGATAAATAAATGCTTCAAAGGGAGTGACAAGAATATCTACGCAACGGTTACGTATTCTTGACAATGTTGAAAGGTTGCTCCTCATATGGATAAAAGAAAAGAAATTGCAAGGCGAAAGTGACACATGACCTTTTTACTGATTGGATCAATGAAGTGTTTGGTCCTTCTGTGAAAAAATATTTGCTTGAGATGAATCTGCCACTCCATGTCTTGCTTGTTATGGACAACGCTCCTGCCCATCCTCCAGACCTACAAGATGACCTCCTTGAAGAATTTAAATTCATCAAGATCCAGTTTCTGCCTCCCAGCACCACTCCGTTACTCCAGCCTATGGACCAGCAGGTTATTTCTAACTTTAAGAAGCTGTACACTAAAGCACTCTTAGAGCTTTGTTTTGAGGTGACTGAAGGGACCAACTCACTCTCAGAGAGTTTTGGAAATATCACTTACACATCATTGCCTGCCTCAAGATGATCGAAAAGGTGTGGGAAGGGGTTACAAAGAGAACCCTCACTTCTGCTTGGAAGAAGCTTTGGCCGGAGAGAGTTGTCGAATGTGACTTTGAGGGGTTTGAGATAGTACCTGTGGAACCTGTAGTCAACGAGATTGTGTCTTTGGCCAAGATCATGGGGCTGGAGGTGGGTAACAATGATATCGATGAGCTTGTGGAAGAGCACAGCCAAGAGCTGACCACCGAAGAGCTTATGGAGTTGCATTGTGTTTCACAGCAAGAAGTTGTGGAGGAGAGTTTGTCAGAGGAGGAGGTAACAGCAAAGCAACAATCTTCTGGCGCAATAAGAGAAATGCTGAAAGCATGGGAAACTGTTGTATCATACATTGAGAAGCATCACCCTAATAAGGCAGTGGCTATGCGCGCTACAAATTTATTTAATAATGTGTCGCATTTTCACCAAATTTTGAAGCATCAGCAAAAACAAATGTCTCTAGACAGCTTTCTAGTAAAAGAGAATTAGATATGTGTCATAAATAATAAACAAATTATTTGGATTTTTTTTTTCTGCAAATCGAATTCGCATTCCAGGTTGGTTCATTCTGCATAGAAGAAAACATTAAGATGATTTATGCTCCTTACCAATGTATATATAATTTTCTTTGAATAAACCTTATACATAAAATTTCTTGAGTATTTTTTTTGGCATGGAATGCATTATCGTATTTTACATTAATTTATACGGAAAAATTGTTTCGCTTAACCAGTGTTTTGCATTACGAGTAAGATTCTGGAATGAATTATTCTTGTTAAACGAGGTTCAACTGTATTTTGCTTTAATCTTCTGCAGCTTTTACCAAAACTAGAATATTATCCAATTTCATGAAAATCTCAGCAGTTCTCATGTTGTTATATGCAGACACAGTCATGAATCACTTAACTGGCATGATTTTAAAATTCTGATTCTTGAGTGTGCTAAAATGAAAAGGTTGGACAGAGAAGTGGAGGAGAGACAAAATAGAGTACTTTCTTCACAGGAATAAATGTCATACATATAAAAGGTTTGATTTCCAAATATTATGATTGAAGTGATAAAAAATTAGATATGAAAGAGGAAATCGCTGTAAAATGATGTTTCATGTCCTAAGAATAAAGTCATTTGGACCAATCTGAAAATAAATATAGTTAGAGAATCTACCAGAAGTTGAAAATACTGCAAATACTGAAGATGGGAAACAGCCAGCAGAGTACTGAAATAAACACAGTTCCCATAAAATAATCATTATATTAACTACACACAGAAATACTAAAATTTATTGAGCTTATACAAAGAGGGTAACCCCTCAGAATGTGATCAATCTTGTCAATTTGTACGGAATTTTAGGCATTCATGATAGTGAAAATTGAGACCCGTTTCTCTCAACTCTTAGTTTGTGGACAATTTTTACTGGCCCAGACATTAATACCAAGGAAAATAAACCAGTTTTTTAGATGAAACTCTCTTGAAATTAAATGCCAAAGCTGATCTTATAAAAGTGTTGCTAATTTAAGATGATGACACACTTACGAGCCAGAGACCATGCATCAGAGTATGGAGTGAAAACATCTCACTTCCAAACAAAAAAGCTCAAATCTCAACCAACAATGGGAAGAGTGATGCTAACAGTGTTCCAGGATTTACAGGGACTAATCCTTGAGCATTATCAAGAATGGTATATGATAAAAAGTGCATGTCACAGTGGCAAGCTGAGGCTGGCAATTTGGAGTATATGCTGTGGTAAACTGTCACATGTGTTGCTGCATGACATTGCCCATTCTCATACTGCTGAAACACTTTGGCATCTATGCTTTTAACATCCACCATAGAACACTGATCCTGCTCCCTTTGATTTTCATTTGAACCCCTCAAACACTTTGAAAGGCCACTACTTTGCCAGCAACAATGAGCAGGAGGTGGTGGTGCTTGCCACCCAATAAAAAATATTTGTATGAAACACCACAGTAAGCATACTTGAAAGCAGGACTAACTCCATGGAGCTTAGTCTTTCTTGAGAAGCCACCAGTTGCTCAGTTACTCAAGAATTTCCCAACATGTTATGATGGAACCTGGAAGGTCACTACCATGTTCACAAGAGCCCACCAGTGGTCCATATCCTGAGCCAGATGAATCTGGTCCTGAAGAATGATATGCTTATCAGTTATATGCTGCTATGTTAATTTTAATAACTACATCAGATATTTTATACATACATACATATATTTCATTTCAAAAGTCCAAATAAATGGACATGAAGGTCGTCATACAAAATTTAAACAAACACACAGATAACAAAATAATTAAAACTAATTGTTTATGTTATGCTCCACATATTCAGAAACTGTATAAAAGGAGATATAAAAACAGCCTATTTTTAAAACTAATTCTATCCTCTTTAAGGCTTTGAATGGTTATGGGCAATCTGTTGAATAGTTTAATAGCAGTAAACATAGTACCTTTCTGAAAAGCAGAAAGATTCGAGTTTGGCAAATATAATTGCTTTCGATTTCTTGTATTCAAACCATGAACATCTAAACCTGAACAAAATTTAGTTTGGTTATAAGTCACAAACATCATCAACGAGAGAATGTATTCACATGACAATGGCAGTATATTCAATTTCCTAAAAAGATCCCTACAAGAGTCTCTAGGTCCCACTCCAGATATAATCCTTATTACTTTTTTTTTGTAATTTATGACTTACCATTGTTAAGATATACAAAATAGATGCAGCAGGGGAAGACTGGACAGTACTTACTGCAGGAGAGAAAAGAATGACTGAGACTTTTATCATAAGATGACCCATCCTGGAAAAAATGTAGGCAGACTGTGGTGGTGATGGAAAATAACTTGCACAGAGTGAAACATCTTTCTAATTGATAATTCACATACAAACTTTATTATATAAACCATGAAACTTAAATTACATTTGCTAGGCTATATATAAAATATTTATATATTCACGTACAGTGGAACCCCCACTTTGTGTCCCTCGGTTTACAGTTTTTCCTCATTTAATGTTCAGATTTAAAGATCCCAACCTTTAGTATTAAATTAATTTTCCTCAGTTTAGTGTCCAAATCCACTAGTCCTAAAACAAACCTTAAACAGGGGTTCTGCTGTATAATTTTATAGCATACTGACAAATGAAATATTAAAGAATATCATTAATTTTCAAATATAAATTAAATTCAGTTTCTACATCCAATGTATGGTTCTACTGCATATAGATCTTCATGCAATAACAGAAAACTACATGAAGAGTATGGTCTTCTGGGTTGTAACACTATGCAGCTCAGAGACAGCCTGACATCTCAGAGGAACGTATCACCTCCATCTTCAGAGTCAAAGAGTATACCATACAATAAACCAGCAGAAGCAGACAGCAAGCAAGGTTTGCTTGGCTTACTCTTCAACCCTGATGATGGAAGCAACACATTCCTCTGAAACATTAGGCTCTCTCTGAACTACACATGATTATAACCCAGAAGACTATACTCATTGCAGTCACTGCCATGAGAACCTCAAATCCAACAGAAAACTTGATGTTCACATTCACAATTAATAACCACCTTGACAACAATCAGAGGATTTTAAGATAACCTAAATCAAGCAGCACTAAATCTACTTTCTAGAAACACATCCATATAATGACTTCAATGATACTAATGACAGCAATATTCTTCCACAAATTCTTATGAATATCAGACTTATTCTGCCTTATTTAAACCAAATACCATGTCCAAAGAATATAACAGTGTTCTCTGATTTAGAACAATAAATATCACAGATTTCTATGGCAAACTTGCATCATAAGGCACAAGGTTATAAAATGTAAGTGATCACTGAGATTACGATGAACACAGGATCGGTAATTTAAGGCCTTCCAACCCTCAAGAAAGGAATTTTCCAGATATTGAAATTCCTGTAAATATTACAATATTTATGAGAATATAGAAAATCGCTCTTCTTTACAGCATTACCAAGAGACAGAATTTTGTGGTTACATTCATATCAATTTCAAATTTTCTTATATTCCAGTTGTTCAGAAAGTGTTCTTTAGTGGGGGGAAAACGAATCATATATGTGCAGTGAACATGTCCTTGACACCTGGGTGACTTTCACTAACATTAGGGAGAAAGGAACAACTGTCAGTTCTGAGGTGTACATCACCACCCTATAGATATTCAAGAGTCAAATGTGACGAGTTCAGCCAGAACAGAAAATGGAAGATGTCCCCTTGCATGACAGCACAAAACCACATACCAATTTGTGAATAACTGAAGTCATCACAAAAGTGCATTGGACTGTGTCACCCCACCCATCATATTGTCTGGATCTCAATATATGGAACTTCTATTGGTTTGGTCCACTGAAGAACGCCATTCATGGACGAATGTTTCATGATAATGAGATAATTGTGGAAGTGAAAATGTGGCTCTGAAAAACCCCAAAGAACTTCTACCAATAAGGAGTGCAGGCACTTTTTCCACGTATCTTAACATCACAGTAAAGAACAGGTATTATGGAGAAAAATAGTATTCATTAGTAAAGAATGCAAGTATACACACGCACACACACCAAATTTCAACCATTTTTGATAATTTTCTGCCAAGAAAAACAGTGAGGCAAATGCTTCTGAATCACCCTCATACAATTCATTGATTTTAAGGTGAATACTTTTTCAGAATTTTTGCTGTGAGCTAATCTCTCTCATTTTGCAATTCATGTATATATATATAGATATGACATGACTCAGATATTAATTTATATTCCACAAGAGTCATGTGTAATTCTGGCAACACAACATTCTTGTGTCTTTAACCTGTTAAAAGATTAGTTTTTGTCCCCCGCAGTCTCAATGCATTTGCTGCAAGGCAGCTTTTCAGCACATCACAGGGAATGAAAATTAGAGGGATTTTCCTTTCCCCAAAAATAGTGTGGTCTGGTGTGGTTACATCACCTGTCATCCTGCAGGGCTGGCCTGGCCTAGCTCACTCCCCTCTGAACTTAAAAATTATATGTAGAGATGAGATGTTCCATCTGATTGCCTAGTTTGGTGCAGCACAATTTTACTGGAATTGTACTTATTACCTGCACACTGAGTTATTCCCACCATCCACTCCACTTCTTTTGGTCCCTATTTATACAAGAACTTTTCACATGACGAGTCTGAGTTTGAGCAGACTGATTAGTGGTGAGAACCTCATGGATAGTTGCAGGGAAAATGACTGTCCCACTTGTAGGTGAACAAACCTGAGTAGAGCTGGGGGTAGTCCAATGATTTAATTTGAACAAAATCTCCATGAAAGATACTAGCATGGCCCAAAGGATACCCACACAACCAAGCCTACCACAACACCATTTAATGGACATGTAAATTCACGAATATTTTCCAACTTTACTGCTCACTTTATGTCCCACAAAGATTCTTCTATAAATAGAAACTTGTATGCAACTTACTACTTTTAATTTATGACTATCAACCTCTTATTTTGCCTACCTGCAAAGCAGCAGCATGCTCACACTGTGCATGCCTTCTCATTTCTCACATGAATATTAAGTGTGTGTGCAGACTTGGTCATGACAATGAGATATGTGCTCATGTAGGTTCTGTGTTCTGGCAGCAATAAAGGACATAATATACAAAAGGGTTCAAGAAAATGTGCATCAATGGAGAAAAATGAAAACAGAAACACTAGTAAGTTCAGTCATATGAGCAATCACAACTGAGCACTAGACTACACAGTCAACATGTCTGTTCAATTGTTAGTATCATAAAGGAGTTCATAGTACTTAAAAAAATAAATGTTTTTAAGCTATCTTGACATTTTTTCTTTTCTGTATCGACTTAAAATTTGATGATATAATTCAAACACAACTTATGTATTACAGAATTACTATTTATTCCCTTACAAACTCATGTTTTCACCTGTTACGAGACAATCGCGATTATTCACCTTCTTTTAATTTTAGGATAAATTTATACAAGTACATTTATACGTTCTAAACTGTCTATGATAAAAATTCAATACGGTGTAATTTTAGTTTTTGGAGCAATTTATATACTTCCAAGTTTTAAACTGCCTATAATGAGAACTTGTTTTACTGTCAATTTTTCATGCTATTATGAACTGTCATTATAATGGACTCCTGTTGTACAGAAGTAAAGTTGGCTCCAGTAAAATCTTTGGGTCATTCAAAATAAAACAGAAAAATTCCATGGGAATGGAAAGTTCAGATATCATATGACTAGATGGACAGACTTAATTACTTCCAACCTATCCAGTGTGTCAAACCACAGACATGTCCCAGTAACATTTCAGCATTTTATTATGTTCTATATACACATCACTGGTGTATCAATTACCTTTTCTTAATTTTATCCTTGTGCAATGAACTGCTCTAGTGCAATAAAAACCTTTAAAATGCAATATTTTGCTTTTGTTATTATACTGCTACATTGGAGCAAAAAGGTATGCAATGAAAACATCTTATACAATACTGAACAAATCCTAACAAACCAATATCACATGCCTAGTGTACATTCAATAGTTCCATTCTGATAATGCTCAGAGACCATCCTCATAAAATTACATAGAACACAAAGGCTTATAATAAATTACAGCTTTGCTCTAGTTTGATGACCAACGGCCATCACTTTTTCCATGTCATCAAATGAAACCATCAGGGCATCATGGAAGGCCTTTACATCAGTACCATGGCCTGATTTGAAAGCTGCTAAACCAAAGTTTATTGTGTTTCCCAAGGGATTGTAGCAAGTAGCATAGCCATCAGGAACCACTGGGCCGTAACACATCACTGAATTACCTTTCCCTGCAACCTGAAAGTACATACTAATATTAAAAAATAATGCATATAAACTGAAGGCATAGATGGGATTGAGTTTAAGTGTGACAAATGTGCTGCTTGCACCAGCACCAGCGGCAGTATTGTGTGACCACAGAGGCAACAATACAGGGAATTTTCCTGCCTGCAGAAATAACTTCTCTTTACTTCAAAAGAACTTAATTACAGATTACTGTAAGAGTGACAACACAAATTTAGTGTAAAGTGGTGGTATGCTCTGCTGTAACTGCATGGCAAATTATGCAACTCTGAACTTCAGAATGTGTCATTTTCTGTTTAGTTCTGTGTAATCCTCATCTAAGGATTTTCATGATTCAAGGTACAAGGCAAGCTTTATATGAAAATGTTTGTTTGTTCTATATGTTTGAAACTGTTGCAAGTTATATGATTCTGATGAATTTCAAGTAAGAGGCAAAGTTCTTGCTAAAGCATATCCCGAAAATGGGATTTATTGTTTAAATACCAAAGTTAACATGACCCAATCTGCAAATACAGCAACTAAAGATAAGATTAATACTAAAAAGAAAAATCACAAATGTGAAAAATCTTGTATTAATACTGTAAAGAAACAATGGTGCCTGATTCAATATCTCCAGGCACAGTAGAACAAAAACCTGTCTGGAAAGCATAAAAACTGGAGAAAGTGAAGGTGCATTATATTTAAGTCACTGTAGTTTTATATACTTATACAAATATAAAACTTTGGATAACTAGTTATCCTGAACTATATAGCACACACACTTAGAAAATGCAAGAAACCTATAATAATAAGAAATACAAAATGTGTGAAATTTTAGCCATTAAAATAATAGCCCAAAAAACTTTAAAATTAGTTTTACTAAAATACATGAAGTTATGTTTCAATGAAATATAAAAGCTTTACCTGGCTGCTTGTTATTTTGAAGTGTGTACTACGCACATATGACGGGTCTCTGTAGAGAGGATGTATTTGCATTCCATTTTCAATTGCTGCAAGCTTCAGGCCTAGCAGATGCCTGTCTACACCTAGTCCAAGTGCAGCCTGAAGGAAACACATACAAAGCATAGAGATATTCATAGAGAATATATCACCACTTTAAAACAGCAGACTCAAAGAAACTTCTTGAAGACTGTGTTACCTACTATTCTTATATACAGTAAACCCTTGCTAAACTGGGGGGGATCATCTGGGTTAAGTGATAATGTGGATTAGTGAAACAAAACATAGCCCTAAATGACCAAAAAAAGAAAAAAGAAAAAACTCAAAACACAAATAAATGGAAAATTTAATGATATAAGTAGTGCTAATATAAATAAATAAAAAAACATCACTGTAGAGCCTAAACTATAAAAGGGCAATACATTTATTCACCAACAGAAGACCCAGAAGTTGTACTTGTTTTTGAACATAATAATGCAGGTCTGAAGAAACTGTCAAGTTTAGCGGCCTCCATAGTCTAGAGGTAACGTTCCCACCTCATGACTCGTGGTATGTGGGTTCAAACCCGGCGGAGGTCGTGGAATTTTTAAGGGCAGAAAAATTCAGGGAACAAGTCCTCCAGGAGGGACTTTAAGCCGTGGGTCCCGTGTCGTAGCTTTACGGCACGTAAAAGACCCTCATATCTCCAAAGGAGGTCACTGAGCCAAATTCAAGGACATTTTCCGCCCAACAGTAGTCTCTAACGCCTCTGATAGATGGGGGAAGCATTATAGATACCGCTAAGCCAGTAGAGGCTGAACTCGCTGGCTTGGTCCGGACTGATGGTACGCACCAATATCGGTAGGGTATAGAGACTGGTAGAATATCATAGAGGGAAGCACAATGGACCAATACTGGTCTAAGTGCATGGGGAAACCCACCCTCTCCAATAACTAACTAACTGCCAAGTTTTGTCTGAACAGGCAAGTGACTCATTTCCCTTACTAAATGCAATGTGTCTTTTAAAGTATGTATTCAACTATGAACAGCATTTTTCATATTTTGATGCAAATTATCTGACATCCGGATTAACTGTAACCAGATTAGCCATGGTTTACTGTATTTTCAACATCAATTATAATCAGCAGCAGTAACTAAGATACCAACAAATTCCATGGAACAGAGTCTTTCTTGAGAAATTATGTTGCTCAACTCAATAGAATCACTTCACCTTTTATGAGACATAGTCAGTAAGCATGTCACAAATGGATATAAAATATAACACATGTGATATTCAAACCTGAAAAAAAAGCATTTATTTCTTGATATATTCTCCAATAACTGATACACTTGTCCCATCACTTTACCAGTGAGTCAAAACCCGCAGCACACAAGTCTTTTGAAAACTGTCTCAGACACGTCTGCACCTCTATTTCAAACAGATCGAAGCCACTAGGAGCCAAGTCCAGGCTGTAAGGCAGCTGTCCAAGAAGTTCCCACTGTAATTATTGAATTCTCTCCAGAGTTGCTCAGGCTGAATGGGGTCTGGTATTATCACGATGAAACAGTAAGCCCCTTGCCAGTTGGCCTGGAGGTTTTCGGAGAATTTTATCCCAAAGCTTCAACACAACCTCACAGTATGATGCACAATTCACATTTTCACCAAGCTTCTGAAAATGGGCTAACAGGGCTAGCAGTACTTCCTCATAATCCCAAAACATGGCACACGTAACCTTCCCAGCTGATAGTGCACTTTTTGGTTTAAGGTGGACTGGGATGTTTCCAAGGTACTGAAGCATGCTTTGATCTGGGTTGGTAATGATGCACCCATGATTCATCACCATTAACAATCCTGTTAAGCACACCTTCTCTTTCATCTGCATACTGTAAGAGATGTTGCAATGATAGACCCATTCAGTTCATTTTTTCTTGATCCTTCAGCTCTCTGGACAATCATCCTTGTGTACACTTTCCAAATCTTTACACGATCATGCATTATGCTGTATGCTAAACTGTGGGAACACCCTGGTGCAGTTGCTACACTGTCTATCATTATCCTCCTGTTGGTCTGAATCAACTCTTCCACCCACTGCACAGTTGCTTCTGTTGCTATCTCAACATGGCGACCTGGTTGGGCACCATCTGCAACTTTCAAAAGTACCTCGAGAAAATTTCTTGACCCACTTGTGAACAGTTTTATGTGACAAACACTTCCCACCATAAATAGGAAACATTTCTTTATGAATATCCTTTGCACTGAGTCCTTTTGCCAACACACAAAAAAAAAACACACAATAGAACATGTGCATGTGCGTCTTCTACCTACACTGTCATGAAGCTGGAATGTGCTGCTACCTAGTGATACACATATAAAACCTATTACACCCATTACAGCTGTTTTACTACCCTTTTTTTACCTGTTTACTGACTCTCTTTTGTATGTAACCTAAAGGTTTCATCCTGCCATCATTCCCAAAATCTCTCCAGTAGTCTCTACCTTTCAGGTTTTCTGACCAAAATTTTATGTGCATTTTTGATCACTCACATGTGTTGCATGTCCCTCACTAACTTCTATAATTTGATTATAATAATACTATTTGTTCATCATCATGGACTCTGTCCACCCTGAAAACAGAGGCAGCATGTTCCTAACAAACTCTGATAGCTATACACAAAGCTAAATGCCATCACATCCTGGACAGTTACGATCTTCCTTGTAAGGTAAGGTAAGGTCATTCCAACCTGTTCCTGTTAATCTCATGATGCTTTTGCTCTCTGAATCATTGCTTCCCTGCCTTCCTGGCAAGTAACAAAATTCAGTTGCAGAATATGGTATCTCCTGTACATAATCAGAAGTTTGGAAATGGACTTCTAATTACGCATCTCAACAGTCTTTTGATATTACAAATACCTGCTACAACAAGTATTTTTTAAGAATTTTATAATTATCATTATATAGGGGTTCCGCTGTATTCATATTTTCATTTTTACCTGTGTAGCATAGTCTTTATGACTTTTGACAGCAGCCAACAGAGCTTGTTTTTTATCTTCATTTGAACTCTTAGAATCCAGCATTGTCTTGGCAAAATGTACAGATTCAATTGAGCATGAGCGAATGGTTTCTGTGCGTCCCAGATAGAACAGCCGTGTACCAGCCGATTCATAGTGAGCTGCTGGTTCGTTGTGGAGTCTGTGGAACACCAAAATATACATACATAATTCTATCAACTATATTATCAATCTTAAATGTCTTATAGGCATCAATTATTCTTGGTGTGTGAATCACATACATCCAATTAAGGAAAGTCCTTATTTTTGCTTTATTCTACCACTGGTTTAACTAATATTTTGTTATGATATAAAATATGAATTTCTGCACTTCCCCTTATTTTACCTTTTACTTTATATAATATTGTCCCGAATTATATTTATTCTGGACCTGGTACAAGTGAACAAAGAATTAAAGTTACTTCTCCCCTTCAATAAATTCGATTTGGTTCTAAATTTTTACAAAAAATTTTTAAACCACGCTTGTAAACAAACAATTTATAATATATTTTAATATATTCATGCACATTGCTGTAATTGTTAAAGGATCAGATTTTATATTCATGGAATTGTAATAATATTGTATGTAGGTATGTATTGATATTGACCAATCGCATTGTAATATTAGTTCCGCCTGTACTGATATATTCTTGTGAAGATGGTCTCTCAGACTGAAAGATGTCAAGGATGAAGGATTAAAAAGAAAAAAAAATAAACGTTTACCAGTCACACTGGACAGAGTTAATAACCTTTTATAAAATTACTTCTCCCCTTTAAGAAAATATAATGTATTGTACCTGGTGATACAAAGATGTACCAGATTTAATTACCTGTAATATGCTAACTGAAGGGCCATCTGGATATAACTGTCAGGACTCACTTTAAACTCTTTGATTAAGTTCTTTCCATATCCAGAATAAGTACAAGACAAGAAGTCAGTGTCCTCGACCAAGCTGAAAAAATATGAACATCTATGTTAACAGAATATGATTACCTATTTTTTATTCCTTGGGGTGGGGTGAAACTGAGTCTATGTGGTAACTCGGCCAGTACTCATATTTTGCCTACTGTACCAGCCCTTGATGACAGATGAGTGAGGAGTAGTGAGTACAATGAGAATTGGAAGTGGAAACTGAAATACTTGGAGAAAACCTGCCCCAGTGCCACTTTGTCCAACACATAACCCACATGACCTGACCATGGTGGGAAACCAGCAGTCAACCACCAGATCTATGGCTTGGCAATAATTACCTAACTACCACACACCAATCCACTCACAACCTTAACAGTCACCCATCCCCACACTCAACCAGTCACTCATTAAGAGAACCTAAAAGTTCAACATGGCTGACACCACAATAATAGCCCGTCACTGGAACCATGGGCATCAGCCTACCAATACTGTGAGGAAGAGAAGACAGATACCAATCAGAAGACTACAAGCAAGACCTACATCACTGAGAGAGAGGGGGGACTTGCAGCAGATCACATCACAGCTCGAAGTCATTCAATATAGGCAAGTTTAAATTGTTTTCCAGCTTAATTATTAAGGTACTTTCTTTAATCTTTGGTTGTTTCACAACGTGTAACAGTGAATGTAAGACGTGAGGCTCTCACAGTGGTTACAAATAAGATTATGGCTTCTGGGATACAGTACCATGTAATTTAGTAAACAGCCATCAACCTACCTGACACCACATCCCAGAAAACTGGAATCTTATATTTCTTCCTTAAATATGTTAATTTTGTAAAGGGAGACTGAATTTTACAAGCAACCTGAGGTAAGAAACATAATAAAGACTTCAATGACTAGGTGTAACAGCTGACACATTAATGTCCAGTAATGTATATCTACTCGTATAAAACTCTGATGTATAAAGTACTTATAAGATCAGTGCTATCTTATGCCTCTGAGACCTGGCCACTGTCAAGATCGAATGAAAGACTGTTAAAGTATATTTGAAAGGAGGATCCTGAGATGTATCTTTGGACCAGTGGAAGAAAATGGAATATGGAAGAAGAGGTATAACCATGAGCTATACAAACTATTTAATGAACCAGACATTATTGGATTTATAAAGGTGAAAAGACTTGAATGGGCTCGACACATAATACGTGCCAGTGAGAACAGAACGATTAAGATAATACTTAATACTAAGCCAGAAGGAAATAGGAGAGTGGGAAGACCAAGATTAAGATGAGCAGAATGTGTGTGGCAGGACATAAGAATTTTGGGTGTAAAGAGCTGGAGGCATGTAGCATCGAATGGAGAAGAATGGCGAGCAATCCTGAGGAGGCCAGGGTTCACAAAGGGCTGTCATGCCAGTGATGATGATGATGATGATGATATGATGATGAATGTATATTTATAATATTTTGCATTATTCCTGCTTTGTTTAACAATTTTATGAATGATGTTGAGCTGTGTAAATATGGAATGATCTCTAATTGAATGATGCTGACACATTATTTCATGAAAATCTGTCACTTTATCCAGAAGTTACCAGACAATGGGAAAGAATGCAGAGATAGTTATGCAGTCATTATACTATTATAAGCCCCTCTTTCCTTGTATAAGGAAAGCAGAGTAAAAATTTTAAAACTGTGTGGGAAGAAAATGTACACAGTGTGACAATTAAGTTCCCGAACTGAGGCCATAAAAACCACAAAAAGATACAATATATTTACTAATACCATCACTCAATACAGTCCCCGCCTGCTTCCATACAATGTTTACATCGCTCATAAAAAGAATTTAATGCCCAAGAAAGAAGAAAATGTACACAGTGTGACAATTAAGTTCCAGAACTGAGGCCATAAAAACCACAAAAAGATAAAATATATTTATTAATACCATCACTCAATATAGTCCCCGCCTGCTTCCACACAATGTTTATATCGCTCATAAAAAGAATTGAATGCCCAAGAAAGAACTTCTTCCTGTATTGCCTTCAGTTCTCTTGTCAGTCTGTCGGATCAACGAAAGAGGCTGGAATGTTGTCCCTTTCATTGCAATTTTGCTGGTACTAAATCTGGGAAGTAGGGTGGATGGGATAACATGGGGATCTCTCATTTTGCCAAAAACTTGGAGATAAGGCTCAAAGAATGCGCTGGTGCATTGTTGTGCAGAAGATACCAGGACCCACTTTAATAAAACTCAGGCCTAATGCAATCGACTCAAGTGACCAATCTCTTAATCTCGTCTTTACAAAATTAACCATTTACGGCCTGTTTTTCCAGCATAAATTCGAGATTAATAATACCTTTACTTACTTACGTATGGAAAGCGGCCTCCGCAGTCTAGGGGTAATGTTCCCACCTCATGACTCAAGGTACGTGGGTTCAAACACGGCAGAGGTCATGGAATTTTTAAGGGCGGAAAAATTCAGGGAACAAGTCCTCTGGGAGGAATTTTAAGCCGCGTGTCCCATGTCGTAGATTTACGGCACATAAAAAATCCTAATGTCTCTAGACCTCTGAGCAAAATTAGGCAAAGTTTCCCGCCCAAATAGTTTCCAATTCCTCCGGTAGATGGGGAAGTATCGGGGACCACAGCCAGAGAGGGCCGACCTCGCTGGCAGAACGGGGCTGATAGCGAGGACCAGTACTGGAAGGCATGGCGACCGTAGAAATTAAAGGGGGACGCACAATAGATCAACAACTGGTCGCAGTGCACGGGGAAACCCACCCCCTCCAAAAATAATAATAATAAATACTACTTATGGAGGTGAGCTCTTCTTGAAGAGAAGCCAAATCTGCAGCTACTCAAGAATAATACCTTTAGCATAAAAAAATGGAGTCAGCATTGTTTCCACCCGCAATTTTTGCATTCTCATTTTCTGAGCTTCTATGTAGCTTCTACGCCATTCAAACACACTTGTTCTTAATACACATTCTTCACCGTATGTATTGTTCAACATTTCAAACCTTAAAGTAGCCGTTTTCTTTAATTTCACACAAAACTTAATTGCTGCTCTTTGTTCCATTTTTAAACCTCCAACATGATGAAAAAACTAACTTCACTAAAACAACTGTAATCCTCATATGGATCAACCAAACAAGTTCAAACTTGCACATCATATAAATAAACTTTCACTCTAACTATTCCCATTCATCCCTGATAGAATTAATACTACTACTACTGTAAGAGCGTCAATTTGGGAACTTTACTGTCACACTGTGTATTTACTCCTCAAAATGACATGAAATTAAGCAAATAAATATGATCATTATGACAGGTCAGTCCAAACTGTTTAATTCTTCAGCAGTGAATTAACTCTTACTTGTCCAGATTGTGCTCAGCCACTTCGATAGCATTCTTAATATCTGAGCTAATATTAAACTGTAATTTTTCTGGTTCTGGAAAAGCTGCAGTGTTCTCTCCAGATTTGCTTTTTGGCATCTTCTCACTGGAAAAAATATAAAAAATAAAAATACTAAATATTACTAAAGATATAACTGGTAAATTACAGTTGGGTAAATGTTTATATCCATTTTTACAACTGTAACATTTCAAGAACTTTAAATGCAACTTTACAAAATATTGTACAACACAATGCTACAAACCAAACTCCGACTTAATAAAAAAAGAGCAATGTGATGCAAGAGATGTATATAATGGGATCTGTTTATGTCACTGACTTTTCCAAACCAAATTCAATGCCAAGTAACATACTTTTATCAATTAAGTGTGGGTTTCAAGCAAAGTATGGTCTGGAAGTATAATTTCATGTTTACAGCTTATTAGGCAGTTACAATAGTTAGTTACATTAGAGTTTGTATATATATAAAAATACTTTCAGAATTTATATTTGCATCTCTGTGTATGCCAGTAGTCAGAATAATCCAAAATTGGATAAAACTTCTTTGTTGAGCAATACAGAAAAACCATGATACAGTGAATTTGGCTTACAATGAGGAATTAATTACAGTGAAAAAAAACAGTGGAACTGTCAATTTCTTAACATTAAACATAGAGAAAAAAACTGCTTCTTTCCCCACATCTTAACCATAATGAGTAATTCGTAACTAGCCATCGCTTTTTTCTGTAACATTTTGCACCAACTGCGCTTGTAGTTTTGCTTCTCACTGATAAAAGCCCATATAGATTCTTTTAACCCACACGCTCTGTCCTACCCTTGACTAGGAGAAAATTAGCATTTCAGAATGTGACAACAGCTTAAACCCGCCAAGTTTCAGCCACTGAGAAATGCATCATGTGACATCCTCTGAATTTCATCTTCAGTCCAGTAGCTTGTTTTATTGTGTATTGTTGCTTGGTTTGTTTATGGAGACACCACCCAGTATCTTCCCTTTCTAGTCACACAGGTTTCCCCACCCCTTGAGCTTCCACTGACTTTAGATGAAGAAGTTGCAGAATATAACTATGCATACCACGTGTTTCAGATTTTGTCTTTCATCAAATTTCATTTGATTTCTAATGACACTTGTCATGACCTTCCCACTCACATAATATTTCACCTCCTGCTTGAATAAGTTCTGCCGGAATTTGATCACTACCTGGCAATTTATACCTCTTCAATTCTGCAATGGCACCTATGTACATTCAATAACTGAGAGAAATAGTTCTTCCACCTATTCAAAATATTGTGGGAATCTGCAAGCAGATCACCATTCTCATCCTTACTTCTAGGTCGGTAACCCATCTTAAAGTCATTTACGAATATTCCTCTATACAGGTCTGTAATGTTCTCGTTCTTACTATTTGTTACAAGCTCATCAATTTTGTCTTTCAGATATTGCCTACCTACTTTAGCATTGAAATCTCCTAACAAAATTTTCATATTGTACTTCGGGAATTTATCAAATACATGTTCTAGTTCTTTATAGAACCTGTCCGTCATATCATCAATTTCATGTTCCACTGGGGCATGAACATTCAGAACTATGATATCACACCAGCGACCTCTTAGTATTATGTATGACATCAAGACATCCCATCACTAACAAACTCTAACCTCTTAAGTGCTGATATGATTGGATTATGTATGAAAAATCCTGTACTTAACTGACGATTCTCATTCCCCTTTCCATAGAAAAATGTATGTTCACCTTCTGGTTCAGTACCACCTCCATCCCATCTGACCTCCTGCACCCCCACTAAATCTAACTTATATTTTGACATTTCTTACACCACTGGCCTGAGTGAAACTGCCCTATACATACTTCTAACATTCCAAGTACCAAATCTCATATCCAGTTTCTTTCACTTAGGTCGTTTATCCAAAGAATCCATCCAGGTCCGAAGCTTCTTTAGAATTTTCGTAACAAGCTTATTTTTTATGGTGAGGTGTTGTTAGCCCCACACCCAACCCCTCAGCTGGAGAAACACCCCTTGCTGGCTGTCTGTGATTGCTTATTTAATATATATTCGCAACTACTCTCCATACCTGGAGGCCATCTCCTCCATCTGCAACCTGAGGATGTGCCATGCTTCGGTGACAAGGGACCCACATAACATGGCTTTCATGTGATGCATCATCATAGAAAACAATGCAAGTACAGAGATTTAAACTTGCAGTGGGGAAAATGCAATAACCTAATCCCGGAAGACTGCTTATGAACACATAAGCATTACATCTCATATGGCCTATACAAACACCCACTGCAGGAAAGTATAAGGAGCAGTCAAAACGGGCCACCACGCATAACTCACATGGTGCGCAAGTTGGTAACACTGGAATTTGCTTATGGAACGAAAATCTGGTGGGGACTCGGGAAAGCACAGTGACAACATGCCCTTGCACACTAGTCGTTTGTTTATTGTGCTGGAAGTAAGGTTAGCGCTACATGTGGTCGTCCAACATCAGTAATGGAGGTGGGTAAAGAAGAACAGCGAAGTGTAGTGTGCCACTGTGACAAAACACCTGCTGTACCGCAAAATCTGCGCTCGGTGGGTTCCACATCAACTCATGGAGGAATAGATGACTCAGAGAATGGTTGCATCACTGGGTCACTTGCAACGATACCATGAGGAAGAGTATGCTTTTCTGTTCCGTACTGCCACTGGAGACGAAACTTTGTGCCACCATTTTGAACCTGAGAGCAAATGGCAGAGCCAAAAGTGGAAACACGTGAATTCTCCCTTGCCAAAGAAATCCAAAGCCATATACACAAGTTCCAGTAAAGTGATGATGATTATGATGTCCTTCTTCGACTGCAAGGGCTTCGACTGCTTGTCAGATTTCTCAAGCATAGGGCCACAATCAGTGCACAGCGCTATGAAGACACTTTGCAGAAACTAAGAGGCGCCATAAAGTCAGAACGCCCTGGAATGCTATCGAACGGCATTATCCTTCTTCATGATAATGAGCGCCCCCCACTGCCAACTCTGTGAGGAATACGCTACAGAGATTTGGTTGGGAAGTGCTTCAACATCCCCCCTACAGCCCAGATCTCTCACAATGTGAACTTCACATTTTTGGAGACCTGAAGAGAGACATCTGTGGACATCGATTTGCATCGGAAAAAGACGTGTGTGGCTGGGTAAAGATGTGGTTCTGCAGACAGCCCAAAAGCTTTTTCAAAGATGGGATTGACTGTCTTATCTCCCAGTGGGATAAATGTATTAACATTTTTGGAGATTACTTTTGAGGTAAGAAAAGTTTTTAATATGTTTTGGCTTCTGACCCATTTTCATTTGACTGCCCCTCATACATTAGGTTAGTTTTAAGTTTAATTTAGTTCCAGTTGAACTATATAATGTGTTGCCATAACTGGCAAGTACAAGTCTGTCAACTACAAACTCAATGCTCAATCAACTAACTCAATTAAATTATGCTATTAGTAGATGTGACATTTGAGAAATACCACAAGTTGAGGCCACCTACAGGAAATCCAAGCAATAGTTCATGAGCATAGCAACTGGCACTGCTTCAGCAGGGCTATGTTCCACTGTGATTCCAACCTCTCCTTCACGACCAACTACAATCTAGAGCAGAGAAATTCAATACATGTGTGTATAATAAAACCTTACTGGACAGTTGCAATCTAAATGATTTTCCATTTCAGTGAAATATTTTAAACATCATCCACACACACAGTGTGTCCAGGTTCTGTTAGGAATGTGTTCATTAAAAATACAAGACGTGAATTATTTTCAAAATTTCACTCTTCTTATTCAAAATAGTCTCCTTCTGAATCAATACATAGCTGGAATCGATTGAAAAGTTTTTGAAAACAGTCACTGTACTCCTTTTGTCAAATCGCATTTAAAACTGCAGTACATTCCCTTTGGATGTCCTGGATGGTGTTGTGACGGTCTCCTTTCTTCGCCAACTTAACTTCTGGAAACAACCAGAAATCTAATGGAGCCAAATCTGGCGAATATGGATCAAGGACTGTGTACTCTTTTCTGGCCAAAAAATTGCGCACAATCTTCGATTTGTGGGGTGGAGCATTGCCGTGGAGGAGTGACCAGGAATTGAAGAATTCTCACCCACAAACGATTGAGGACTCCGAGATAATAATCAGAATTCACTGTTTGACATTCTGGCAGAAATTTCTTGTGAATGATTCCTTTGGAATCAAAGAAAACAGTTAGCAGTGTCTTTACTCGACTCTTCTGCATGCACACTTTCTTTGGTTTCGGCTTCTTTGGGCTAAGCCACATTGCACTCTGCTGCTTTGTGAGAGGCTCATATTGAAAACACCATGTCTCGTCACCAGTAACAATCAATTTTGTACCACTTTGGGCCGACCGTAATATGTCTTTGCAGTGTTCCACTCTGGCATGTTTATCATTGCCTGACAGTGCATGTGGTACAAACCGGGCACAGACCTTCTGTTTGCCCAAATCCTCAGTCAAAATTTGATGTACAGTACTTTTTGGTATTCCCAAAAGCTCCTCGATGAGTATTGCACAAACACGTCTGTCTAATGCGAGGATTTTGGTCACTTTTTTCACATTTTCTTCAGTGCGACTTGTTCTCGGCTTTGATGCATGTGGAGCGTCTTCAATATCCTCCCTGCCATCACGAAATACAGCATACCATCGAAAAATGTTTGAGCAACTCAAACAATCACTACCGTACACACTTTTCATCATTTCATACGCTTCTCCGGCTGTTTTGCCAACTTAAAAAAAAATGTGATGTTGGCTCTCTGTTCAACTACCATTTTCCGAGCCTCAGAACAGTACTGTTATATTCAAGGTCAGAACACATGAGACAGCGATGCTTGCACTCTGAAATTACAGACAGCCACAGCAGAAACTTCAAGAATCTTAATGCCACAATTCACCAACAGATGACATTGCAGGGCAAAATTAAAAAAAAACGACTCCTAACAGATCCTGGACACACCGTGTATGTCTCTAGGATATATTAATTACTTTTAATTTACTCTTTTATATATCACAAACTTCCCATTATGGGATGGGGAGACTTACAGAACACTGCAACAGCAGAATCTGAAGCTTCAAGACAGCTAACCTCAAAGCCTGCCACTTGACACAAGTCTGAGCCAATTCCATCCATCTCTCAACCTCACAACCTATCAAAGAATCTTCCCATGTACAAGGCTTGTGAGGGGAGATTTACTTACCTTAAGTTAAAATTGAGGAAAACAATAATACAAATTTCAATTTTAATCAATGAGACATGATAAAACTATCTTGTTTATACAATCCACCTGCTTTCATACTTTTTCTGCAATTAAGCCAGGCCTCTGAACAAAAACAAATTAAAACTACTTTCACAGACATGTACAATAAATTACACTGGGCAGTGGTATCACTCATCTGATAACAGCCAATGTCTGTAACTGTTTACAAATATTCATACCCATAACCAGGTGAAGTGTTCCAGTTTACAGAAGTTACACATCCCATTAGTAGTTTGTGCATTATCATTGTACTATATTCAATATGGGGAAGTTTCAAGTACATGTGCTACCAATGTGCAGGAGATATAACAGTAATACATATCTGAACAAGACTGTTAAAGTATGCAGTACACACATAACAGACACAATTGGTTGAAGGAACATAAATGAAATAATTAACACTATGACAAACTCTTTCATTATAATAAACAAACATTAAATGTGCATGCATCTATCTGGTGTTACGAGATGATACTGAAAGTGGTGAGTAGTCAAAATCATTACTGAATGAAAAAAACACAGTATTAAGATTTCAGTATTCACTGTTTCTACGCATATTAAATGAAAATTAATTACATAAAACTGTTTTATATACAACTGAAAAGCAAACAGAATTACTAAAATAAATCAAATCTGATTTTAGTGCAGTCTAAGGACAATAAAGATCTTCTTTTTCTTAACTGTGACGTGTTCTGGAGGCTGTGGTTGACAGCTGAATAAGCAAGCTGAAGAATGTACTATTAATGTCCCTTTTGTTGAATTAGCTAGAAAAGTGTAAGGCTTCTACAGCTTACTGGGCATAAAATGTTTCATTTTCTCTACAAATCTTGGTTGAAACATTCTTCTCTCTGATAAATACAGACTTAATACTTAACAAGATATGCACAGAAGAGCATGTAGGTTTTTAAGTGAAGTTGCTGTTAAACTTGTCCAATCTAAGAAAACATTTACATTGCTTGACAATTTTCCATAATGTCAAATTTCATGAAAATCTCTCCAGTGGTTCTGAAGTCACTTCAAATGTACAGATGAATGGACTAAGTGATCTGAGATACTCCACAGCTTGTGACAGCATATAAAAGCCATTGCTATCACCTCTTTCAATTTGTAATTCTCTCTGCCACAAATACAAGTAACTTAAGCCTGTAAAGATATGTTCTTACCTCAATTGTTTTGTCAAACCAGCGATTTCCTGAACTTCCTTTGCTACCACCTCCATGCACTATTTTCAGTGCAGCCAAAGTTGCAACATTTGGAGCACTAAGATGGGAAGCAGGTCCATCAAGACAGAGAAGAAACAGAGAAGTCTGAATAGCTTCTACACTTCTGCGGTTTACTTCATCTGAAACAAGTTACAATCAATAAACAGAAAATTTTCTGGCCACTGTAATATAATGTGACATGACTGAAAGCTGGAGCAGTGGACTGAGTACAGGTGGTTGCTGGTAGGCAGCAGCACAGTAAAAATGTTTCTGCGGCAACAGTCACTGATGCAACAATAGAAGACATGGCGTTTTCTATGCAGTCCATGCCAAGGCTATATAACAAGGACCAGCAGCACAGTCAGGAGTAGTGAGTTGCAGGTAAGCAGTGGCAGTTTGTACTTGGTCTAAGGAATCTCCGCTGATAGCAGCTGCTACCTAACAATGATTGGTAATGAAAGAATAAACAAAAATATTTTGTGTGCACTGCAGTTGTTGTGATTTATACAGTGTGTAAATTAGTGAGGTTGTTACAATCATTTGTAGTTACAGTGTTTTAAGTATCTAATAAATCCAATTACCAATGCAAACCTGTGTCTAGTCACTACCACGTGACAAATAATTTAGGAGCAATCAATGATATTGAAGAGTATCTGTCTAGCAGAGCTAGTATCTATATTCATGTCAGGGGACTTGTAGGTTGAGAGTGAGTGAGTACTTATATATATAAGCAAATGCCTGGAAAATATATGCACAACATAACCCTACCATCCATTAACTATAAAGTACTGAACACCTGCAAAATGTCATAATTATATGCACCTGGTTAGCTGTGCAATAATTCCATTCTCCATTTCAAAATCACAATAAATAAATTATTAATAATAAGAGTACAAATTAAACAAAAAACATTCTCTAATATGGATACACAATGTACAATATGCAAGTGATTTATATTTTTTTTTAGTTGCATCAACAGAACAAGCAACCTATTAATGGCTGTTTGGAGATATATGATCAATGAAAATCAAGATGCACCAAACATATGTCACCATAATGATCTTCAAACACACCTTTCACTAAGTCACTGTATACTCTTGCCCAGGTATCTCGGTGCTCACTCGTCAGAATTCCAACAGCTTCTCCTGGTTTCTGAGAAGCATTTACCACTGCTTTCAACTGCATAAGGAGCTTACCAGGACTTATAATCTCACCACTGCTCTCATAAACACAGATCTTGAAAAACTGAAAACAAGAGCAAGAATGGTTTTATTAAATAAATGATTAAAATTCCTATGCATTCTTTAGATGCAATATCAAACAGTGAAGTTAAAAATAATTTTAAAAATTCTAGGCTCTGCTGTACCCTAAGATATTCCTATTAAAGGACTTCTGTTCATACCTAAGGTGCTGTATTTCACTATGTAACAAACAGTTTTCTTCTCTTTGCATTGACATGGATGTGAGGTCCTGCTATTCCTAAAAATGTCTGTGTATCTTATTAACATACTGACATAAAACTATAACATAACTGAAAAAGATTCCACTATTTCACAGTTAAAAGAACCTTCAACAGGCTTGAACTGCACAATCCATGTGACTGGAATCCAGTCTTTCAGACTAGCAATAACCATACTAGGATCAATGTCTAGAAATAACTCACATCAGCATAAGAGAAAGCAATGGACATAATTCCGGTGACAGCTGTTAAATGCTGACTCAAAAAGGAGTACTTTAGCACTGCAATACTACAAAGCATTTTCTTATGCACTACCAGTTCAATTACCTTAAGCGTATCAACATTCATCAATTTTAATGACAGAACATTTTCAGAATTTTCACTGTAAGAAGCATTCTCACCCTTCTAAGATTATGTTTGTGGCTTAGCACATAAGCTCTACTCTTTGAGTCACATGATCACTTCTGGTGTACTAATTATGAGTGTGAATGGAGGGAGAACAAAAAGAACCCTCATCCTCAACAGTCACAATACACACGCATGTGCGTGTGTGTGACAGGGGGGAGCTATCAACAAATCAGAGGAAAGAAGAAACTGTTCAAACTATATTTTTTCCTAGAATGAAGTCTCCATGAAAGGTATTACCTAATTACTTTGACACCTTTTTAAGAAATGTATAACTGCACAGAATATCTGCTCAACTTAATAAATGTTTAAATGCACACTTTATGGCCTGAGAAAAATCCTCATCCAAATATCAACTTGTGCACATTCATAAAAATGAATTCATAACCAACCTCATATTCACAAAGCTGCAGCACATCACACTATGCATGCCAATTCATTTCTCATGTGAACAGTAGTACAGTGGAGTCGGGATAGCTCAGCCAGTATACTGACTGGCTACAGGCTGGATGACCGAGGGGTCAGAGTTCGAGTCCAGGTAGGGTCAAGCGTTTTCTCTTCTCCATATTGTCCAGATCAGCTCTGGGGTCCACCCAACCTCCTATCCAACGGGAACCAGGGCTCTTTCCCCAGGGGTAAAACGGCCTGGGCGTGAAGCTCACCACTCACCTCCAGCTAGTGCTGAGGTCAAAATGTGGATTTATACATCCACTCCCCCATATGCCTTCATAGCATAGTGCTTAATTAGTTAAGCACTGGGACAATTTTACTTTTTACTTTACAGTAGCACATCTGCAAACATGTTCCTGCCAGTGTGATAACACACTTAGCAATATAAAAGGTTAAGTTTCCTCCAGGCTTAACTAATTAAGCAACGCTCTGTAAAGACAAATAGGGGAGGGTAAGTATAGCTCCACCATTCTTAACCTTGGCACCAGATGGAGATGAGTTGACAGCTTTACAACTCTGCTGCTTTACCACCTGTACCCACTGTACAAGAGCCTGGGTTGGCCCTAGAGACAGTGTGGATATTATGGAGAAGTGAAAAATCTCTTGCCCTTAAAGGCAATTAAACCCCAATGCTTTGGTCATCTAGCCTGTAGCCCAGTCACTATACTGAATGGGCTATATTCATACTACTACAGAAGCTTTCAAGAAATTACACAGCAGTAAAGAAAATACTCAAATTGGAAACATTTGGAAGAATACATAAATAATAACTATTCATTATGGCACCAATTCTTCATGCTATCTTGAATCCTCATTATAATAAGCTTCCACAGAATTGTCTCCTTAGCATACACATGAAGACATGTTCCATGTACAACTACCATGAAAGCTTCAAAGATAAACTGAAAACCTATTCTTTGACACTGATATTAAGGGCAACAGAATATTCTTAAAGAGAAAGACTTCCTGAAACTGTATGAGAGAAGAAGTGTTACTTTTTCTCTCTGTTTCAGTTTTAGGCTGACAAAGTCATGCTTTCATTTATTCTTTACAACAAAATGATTATAACAATAACATTTACATTTATATCTAGAAGATAATTTTCATTTTTACATACAAGATTATTGTGCGCAACTACAATATGCTGCACAGGACGTGACGGATCACTGAAATGCATTTTATCACATTTTGGTGCTGGAATTCGGCATGTACCATATATCCTCTTATACTGAGTCATATCCATTGGTTCTTTACCCATCTTGTCAATGGGTATTTTATCACTGCAATATAGTACAAAATAAACACTGTGTTAGACATAGCATGTGGAATTGAGAAATGTCATAAAATATTAAAATTATGCCACATAAGGTGTTTTTTGGGCCTACTAACATATGAAACAAAAATGCAAATTGATTACACAAAGTGGAGATATTTGTATGGGGGACTAAGAAACAAATATGAAGGCACACAATTCAACACCAGGCCACCAGGCAAAATATGAAACTGTAATATGGACTAGGAGATCTTACAACACATCTGACCTGTAGACACAGGAGTGGAAAGGCTTATAATTTATCAGCATCTCCTCCACTCACACAGGAATTTCATTAGGCTCGATTCATCATTATGGTATAAATACATGGCAAGGTATTGTGAGAGGAGAAGTATGTATGCACTACATAAGCAAAACATACTAGTCTTTGATATGCTACAGACCTCAAATATTTACTGGACCAAAACACACTGAAACTCATGAACACAAATGTTTTGTCATTAAGTTCCGTTACTTAACCCTTTCGCGCGGTCATTTAAATTCCGCTGCCGTCTCTCCGGCGGTAATATATTCAGCCGGCCATTTAAATTTGCTCGAAAATGATTTATTCATCCTTTTTCTTAAATTATATGAGATAGGAATATGAAACTTTCACTAAAATGATCTTAAAAGGTGGTTTTATAACCTTACCTTATAATATGAGCGCCCAGTATCTCGGCAATGGAAGCAGTTGGTTTAGAATTTGAGCAGTGAATGGTACG